TCATAAAATGTTTAATTCACATTCAATCAATAATGGATGTATCATAATTAAAAGTTCAAATTTAAACTAGTTTTAAATTCGAACTATATTTTCAACGTAGAGTTTCTAAAATACCCTCAAAATAATAAATTAAATGTCAATTTCCATTAAAAAAAAAACTAACAGAGGGGGCCTTTTATTAATATTTCATTGTTCAGGAAAAACATATGTTACATTTCAAAAATTGAATGGCAAAATGTTAAAAGAGGTGTAATTTAGGAGGAATTTTTGTAATTAATCTCTTATGAATACCCCAAGACGCTAACGCTAGACAAAGTGGCTCTCTTAAAATCAAATGCACGGTTCCTATTATACAGGGAAAAATGGACTTTTTACATAATAAATTTTTACCAAAAACTAAAATTAGGGTAACTTTTTTGTGTTTATAAAAGACAAAGGGTAGATTTCTCTTTATTAGAAAAATACAGGAGATAATCTCAGCATTTTCAAGGATAGAAGGTATTACAATCTTACATTTAAGTTAAACACAAAGTATGTTTTTATCATTATCCCTTAATATTGACTCATCAACATTTATATGTTACTTCTTTGTCAAGATGTAACGTATCTAAACATACTTAATTTTTCCAAGTTTAAGCTCTTTTAATTAAAAAAAAAATTGTAACACGATTTTTATTTTATTATTATTATTATTATTATTATTTATTTAATTTTTTGATAAGCTAATTTGTCACATGATCGCTCACTCGTTATAGTCCCAAATTAACAAATCCGATTTGATTAATCATTTGAGGGGGCGCAGATAGCAGTAAAGAAGTTGAAAGCGATGAATTCGAAAGCAGAAATGGAGTTTGCAGTTGAAGTGGAAGTTCTTGGGAGGGTGAGGCACAAGAACTTGCTAGGTCTTAGGGGATACTGTGTTGGGACTGATCATCGGCTTATAGTCTATGATTACATGCCAAATCTCAGCTTGCTTTCTCATTTACATGGCCAATTTGCCAGAGAAGTTCAACTTGATTGGAAAAAAAGAATGAAAATTGCAATTGGTTCAGCA